CATGACTGATATTTATTTTTCTTTAATAAAAATTGATTTATGGTTCTCTGTTGCTGAAAACAACAATTTAAACGGTGGCTTCAAAACAAAAAAATATATGCAAACAAGAAATAGCAAATATTCAATAGGATCTATAAACAATATGTTTAATTTCAAAAACAAACTGACATTTTTCCAGCATATAATTGCATTTCGAAAAAAGTTCTAAAAAATCTCTCTACACAAGTTTTATGTCCTGTCATTTTAAATGGTTTTTTTAAAGAAACAACAGCAGCTGTTGGCTTAACTTTTGTAGAAAAGAACTTTTTTATATTTTTATATTTATATACTTTTAATATCACTTTTTCTTACTATGTATATTCCTTGTGTTAAGAACATCCCACTTATAGTCGTATTGTGTTTGCTGAGGCCTTCTTAATATGATTTTAAATAATAATAATAACAATAAATGATTTATGCGTATCCTTGGTGTTCCTGGCGGTTTAATTCCATTCCATTTGTGCCGTTCGTCTACATGTTTTCGTTTCTACTAAATGATTTATGTCTTGTTAAGCTTATTGAAGGCCAGCTTTTATTTTTATTCCTTTTGGAGAGTTTGTTTTTCTTGTCAATTTGTTAAAGGAACGAGAAAATGCTGTATTTAAGTGATAGTAGTTATCGTTCTTTTTAAAGAGTCTCAATAATATTATAAAAATTTTACGACATTTATAAAAGTTAAGTCATATTTAAGGCATATTTTCAAAATTACGTCGAATTTATTCATGAGTAAATTTTTTCGATTTCCTTAAAATTTTGTCGGTATTGAATATGAAAACAATTTCTCTATTTAAATAAGGATAAATCGATGTGTAATGGAAGCAGAGCCCAAATTACGGCATACGATATCGATCGAAATCTCAATACAATCTAAATGGAGATTTCGATCGATATCGTATGCCATAATTTGGGTCCAGGTCTTTGGGGGCAATGAATACATACAGCTATACCATATAAATGAAGAATTCCCCATTAAAATTACTTGTTATTGTAATTAAAGAATTTAATATTACAATTTCTTGTAATTATAATTTTTTTTTATAATTACACGTAATTAGTAATGCGTCGATTACAATTACAAGTAATTTTTACTGAAAAACTTCAATTACAATTACAAGTAATTGGTTATCAGTCAATTAAGAATTACAAGTAATTGTAAGTGTGAAAACTTTAATTACAATTACAAATAATTACACATTACACATAATTGTAATTGTTATGAATTACTTTATGTAATCATTACTCCCCAAGTTTGAACGGAAGATCTTAAGTATCAACCTTAAAATCTTCTTTATTCGTCAATGATACTTAAAGGCTGGAAGGACTAATATTTAAAACATACGCTATTTCTTTTTTGAAACATTTACGTGAAAGGTGAGGAAATAATTATAGCAAATTGTATGCTTTTTAAGGTTCCGAAATAGTGATCTAAGAACTTTAAATTTAAAATATTAAATAAATTCTTTAGTAACTAAAACTAAACGCTTAAAAAGTGGATTAATGTTTGAAATCTACAAAAAGTGATATAGTGTTCATCAACTGACTTCTTGCCAATAGCTGTCGACTTTTTTCAAATTCTCATTCACTAAAAATTGTGAGCATTTTGAAGTGTATATAGTGTATATTATACACAACTCATGAACTGTTAGTTTAAACTTTAAAGTGATGTTTTTGTCTTTTACTTATGAGTTGATGAACGGCTTTTTTTGGTAAACAGAAATCTAAAATACCAAAATCTTAACATACAGGCAAATATGTTTGCCTAGGCCGTACATATACATACATTAGAGTATACCGATGAACTCCCCCGATATTTGATGAAAGACTCCATCTTGGTATGATTGCAATCCCGGGGTAAAGATGTGCTACCAGTAGGGTTCTATAAATCGACTTTCGAATAATCGAACAATCGACTTTTTGTCGAAAAGTCGAAAAAAGTTCCAAAAAAGTCGATAACTCGACTATCGTCTGTGAAAAAAGTCAAAAAGTCGACTTTGTTAATAAAAGTCGAAAAAAGTCGATAAGTCGAAAAAAGTCGATAAGTCGAAGAAAGTCGAAAAAAGTCGAAAAAAGTCGATAAGTCGGAAAAAGTCGAAAAAAGTCGGAAAAAGTCGAAAAGTCGGAAAAAGTCGAAAACTCGAAAATTGTAGAAACAAGTCAAAAATAGTAAAAAATTTTAAAAAAGTGGAAAAAAATCAAAAACTAAAATAGTCGGAAAAACTCGAAAATAGTCAAAAAATAGTCCAAAAAAAGTAGAAAGAAGTCGAAAATAGTCAAAAAGTCGAAAAGTCGACTATTTATAAAATACTTATAGTCGAAAAGTGTAAAAGTCGACTTTTATTTAAATGAAAAAAGTCGAAAAATTGACTTTTCATAAAATGCAAAAAGTCGAAAAATCGACTTTTCATAAAATGCAAAAAGTCGAAAAGTCGACTTTTAACTAAATGAAAAAAGTCGAAAAGTCGACTTTTCGTTTCAACTATAGAACCCTAGGTACCAGTACCTCTAGTCTGCCGGGACTATAAACTGGCGAATTTCCTTGGAATGAGTTGACATGGGATCCAACTAGAGAATCGACAGTTCGCAGGGCAGAGTTTGCGATTTTGTCTTGTCCCATTTATTGGAGAGGTAAGAGAGAGGTAGACATTTGCGGGAAGAGAATGTCGGTTAAAAGACTGATGCACGGTAAAGTCTAGAATTCGGCATAAGTTCGGTACTGTTGCCGATATATCATATTCCTCGCAGAGGGGCATGTTTCCTTGATAAAAGACTCTCATCTTGGTGTATTGCAATTCCGGGGTAAAGACTTGGTACCAGTACTTCTAGTCTACCGGGACTATAAACTGGTGATGTCATTTCAGTCCTTGGCTAGTCCTTGGAATGACTAACCAAAGAACCACATAATCTGGTACTACGGGTGACCAGTTTCCCGCAGGACAAGTCCTGGCTGGTCAGTTGGTTGCGGTTTCTTCGGGATACACGTAGTGGCTGTGGTTTGAACCCAAATTTGCGGGAAGAGTAAGTTGCGTTTAAAAAACGGTGCTGTTGACGAATGACAACAGATACCCCACAGAGGAGTAACTGTGGGACTAAGCGTTGAAAATGAGTTGGTGGTAATTGTATATGATACAGTATGAATGTGGGGGTATACGGAACTCAGCCGCCCGTATACCTCGAGTAAGTCTGTCGTATGTATTTTGAGAAGTGTACTGGGATGAATGGTCATGGATGAAAGGTATCTTATACAAATGATACCATTGAATTTTCCTTCCTTGACCAGGTATGTTCAGAGTAAACTCTGTTCATAACAGATTTATCGCAGTGTGCATACTCAACAGAAGCCATCCCATATGTGTGGTTGTAAACGGAAGTGATGTTTTTGCATCTCGGAAGTTAAGCAACGGGGTAGAAATGGTCAGAGATTAGATATCTCAAGTACTTGAGATAGTGCATGTATACTGGACCGGAAATTCCATATACGTAAACTGCCACCTGCGTGTAAGAAGCACAATGGGGCGGGGGTCACAGAAGCTCACCGTGAAATTGGCCAACACGTCAGGTGTTTACGCAAAGCACTCGACATTAACTCGACTGTGGGACTAAACGTTGGAAACGAGTTGGTATTAAGTCTATATAATACGGCATGGATGTTGGGATGTAGAGTGAGTGTGTCGAATTAATTAAAAGTGTTCTGGGTTGAAAGTTATCTTATTGAATTTTCCTTCCCCGTCCGGGTATATTCATACCAGATTTAACACGGTTTGTTCTCTGAGAGTATGAACAAGTCCTCGTCTTATTTGATGAATGTATGTTTCGGTCTACCGAATACGTCCCTAGTTGCCGTTGCCAACTCAACAGAGCCCATCCATCTGCGTGGTTGTAAACGGAAATGACGTTTTTTCACCTCGAAAGTTAAGCTCGAGCAAAGTGCTTGTACATGGACTGGCAGAACCATGTACAAAAATTGCCACCGGCATGTAAGATACACAAAGATGTGGTGGTGAGTCGTATAATCAGTTCAACCTTCAAGGCAGGTGTACACGTAAAGTACTTCCACATATTGTACTGAGATCAGAATTTTCAATCGGTGAAGGGAACGTTTTGTTATATTAGTACGGATCATGAGGTATTCCTGCAAAAAAATGGTCCACGGGACACCCTAACATATTTAGTCCAAAATGTTTCAAAACATAACGAATCAAAGGCTACTTATATCCTACAGCAGTGGGGTAGGCATTATTGATTTGCGCTGATGTTTATAACACCCTAATGCACCTAAACTTATAGTTAGTCGTTCTGGCTAGGTGGCTGCACATTAGAATGTCCCGTGGATTACTTTTTTGTAGGCACAGGTATTACTGTACGAAATATGAGAAAAATATGTAAACTAAATTAAAAAAAAAATTATCTTTTAAGTTTACCAAGTTCCCGTGAGACTTGTGCTAACATGAAATCCACAAAATATTCTTCCTCAGGACACTCTTGTGTCCATGTGTAATTTTCGTAATGATCGGGTTTAATTTGACCCTAGCTCCCAAAATAATTCACTTAAAAACTTTAGTATCGCGATAAAATTTGTCACAACAAACTTTCAAGTAAACATAAGTCCCTCCACTAAATTTTAAAAAAATCTGGCAATATTGTAAGCCCAAGCTACTATAAAAACCTGTTTCAAAAATTAATTTTTGGGTCGGTCTAATACTGCGAATTTAGGTTAAAATTCAACAGAAATGTTTTACTATAAAAAACTAAATCACACTTTAAGTATGTTGATATATGGTGTAGGGTATCAATACTCTCTTACTTGTTTTCCTTTGTCAGTAACTACAGTATGAGATTTACAATTCAAATTCATGGCCGTTAACAACAGAAAGTTTCAACTATATAAACAAACTTGAACTGCCGCATATACACCACAAATCAGAATGTTCGAAAAAAATTACTTAAATTCCTAAACAACTCACCTGTTATAACTCGAGTACAATTGATATTTTTCGGATAATCATTGGGATAGTCAGGACTATAGAGTTCATTCTTTTCGGGATCACCCTCAATGAACATACGACATTTGTCATTTTGTTCATCTTCCGGTGCTGCTTGCCGGGCATGACGATGTAAGAATGCTGGTCTCTTCAATTGATTGCTGTGATAATGTTCATGTAAAGGTGAATATGTTGCTGGTGTTCTTAGGGCAGTTGTGACTGAAGTTGATGTGGATATTTGCAGATGATGATGATAGAAGTCATCAGAATATTGGTTGATTTCCTTTGGGCTTAAATTACTAACACTATCAGTACTTGTAACTAAGTTGTTGTTGTTGATGTTTTTATTAACATTGTTGTTGTAGTAGTTGCTGTTGTGGTTTTTAAAGTTGAAAGTGCTACTTTGGCTAAAATCAATAGTGCCACTAGATGGCAAGGAATTAATTGCTGTTGCTATTTGTGCTGCATCTAATGCTGTTGTTGCTCTTGTTTTTGTGCCATTTGCTATACTTATACTAAGATGATTTTGTTGTTGCTGCTGTTGCTGTTGATGTCTTGTTATATTTATGCTCCTGCTGTTGTTTACTGTTCCATATCTGCTGCTATGATTAAGGCTAAATGTATTTGTTGTCTTTTGTCTATACTTGCTGCTGGTATTTTTGGTGGTATTTGTGAAATCATTACTACTTTCACTATTGTTCAAATTGCTATTACGACTAGAGCCATTGTGTTGCTGCTGTCTTAAATTTCGGTTCAAATCAATACTGGCATTCCAATACTTTGTATTTTTTAAATTATTTTTTCTTTTGTTATCGCTATTGTGGTTTTTTCTATAATCATTTACTTGCTGTCTTGTATTTGCCATTGTTAATGTTTCAACAAAAGGTTCTGTTGTTGTCTGTATTCTTAATATTGTTGGTGGCACAAAAACCTTACTTTTATCAGCAACATAATTAGTTGACGTCGTCTTAATATTGCTGGTTGCCTCAAACTCTTTATCTTCGTCTTCTATACTGTTATCGAATATGTAAAAAATATCTGCTTGTCTTTTTACTCTGTTGTCTATTGTTTGTGCTGTTGTTGCATCAACTGGATTTTGTATTTGTTCAGGTGCAGGAGTTGTTTTTATAGCTGCTGCAGTTGCTGATTGTGTTGCAACTACAGTGCTTGTTGTTGTTGTTGTTGATTGTGTTTGTATTGTGGCAATTGTGGTTATCGCTTCATGTTCAAATATTGGATAACTATTCACATTATTTTGTTTATAATGATTATCTGTAGTGCTTGTTATTGTTGCTGTTAGTGGTGAAGGTGTTGTTGATAGCAACAGTGATGATGTTGGTGATATTGTTGTTGTTGTTGTTGTTGATGTTTCTGCTACTGTTCTACTTGTTCTATTTGGTATTTTTCTATTCAACTGTATAAATTCAGTCATTTCACTTTGATAAGCGTAGTTGTTATTATATAATTTTGTATATTTTTTAGTTGTAGTTGTTGTTGATGACATCTCAGGTGACACTGAAAGCAAAAATATAAGGGAAAATACAAATAAATTGTTTATAAAATTGTTTTATTCTATTTAATTGTTGAGATATTAAGATTATAGAGGAAATATTTACTTCCTGTCAGTTAAATTTATGGCCAATAGAACTATTCTGTTAAAACTTAATTTTGTTGTTGTAGGTTTTAAATTTAAAAGTCCATACACGAATTGTTGTTACTTTAGTATCAACGACATATTCATATTTATGTATATTCTTCCTAGCTACTACTTTATTTTAAAAGGACCTTAAACTTACAACAACAACCATATTAAAATTCCTAAAAAAAGTTAAAGGTTTAATATTTGACTAACTTAAACACAACAATTTAAGCTTAAAACAATAAATTTCCATACAAACACTAACTATAGTTTCATGTGGTCAACAATTTCAAATTAAAATATCGATTTTAATAAAAAATACTTAAGTTTAAAAACTCACTCCAACGAATGTGGTCAAATTTAAGCAAAAAAAGGAAAAGAAAGTGAGTATATTAAATCTTTGCTAACCGTCAGCTTTTATTTAAATTTAAACTAGACCACAAAAATCAATCAAAAATAAAACTAAACAGCTTAACACGCCACTTTGAAGAAACCAAAACCAATCAATCAGACAAAAGTTTTTTTGAAAACTTAATTTCTTCTCATTTAACATTAAGAAACTAGCAACAAAAGTAGAAATTTTAAATAAATCTTACTCAAACCCAACTAAATATTAAAAAAAAAATAAAACGCAATTTACATTTAACAAAAAGGATTTTGTATTTAAGGATATGTAAGAAAATGTCTGAATGTATTAGAAAAATTATTATTGCACAGAAAAGAACAATAACTACAACAACAGCAGCAGCAATATTCAACAAGCATCCCAAGGGTGACCATTTAGAAAGATTAAAACAACAAATAAATTTGAAGATTTCATAGGGAGCAATAATAAAAAGAATATAAAAAACAACAACAAAATGCAAAAATAACAATATGAAAATGAGTAGAAAAATATAAAAGAAAAAATCTACACAATTTACACAAAAACACAATTGAAATAATTCTCCATAGACACAGGACTAAGACCAAAAACAAAACAACAAAAGTATAGGAAAATCCCTATCTATGTAAATTGCTCCTAATACCCCCTTAACAAAGGAATCACAGAAAGATATCCTAACAAATTCACACTTTTCTACATATATGTACAATGTTCAAATGTATGTATGTATGTATATGTATACATTCATTTACAAAGAGATATTTTTTATGAGATGCATACTCCCACATACATACTTATTATACAAATCCTTCTTCTTATTATTTTATGCACACGTTCTGGCAATGTATGGGGGAGTGTATTAGGGAGTTTTTTTTTTTGGGAACATGAGAATGCAAATTGTAATTTTTAAATCCGTTTGGATTTGTGTTTCAAATTTAGACAGGGGACTGTAACGCTTTCGACTCAATAGGGAAAAATAATGTTGTAAATCGGGCCATCACTCCCTTGGTCTCTTTGTTAGTTAGGTAGGTAGTTAGTTAGTTAGTTAGTTAGTTAGTTAGTTAGTTAGTTAGTTAGGTTAGTTAGTTAGTTAGTTAGTTAGTTAGTTAGTAGTTAGTTAGTTAGTTAGTTAGTTAGTTAGTTAGTTAGTTAGTTAGTAGTTAGTAGTTAGTTAGTAGTTAGTTAGTTAGTTAGTTAGTTAGTTAGTTAGTTGTTAGTTAGTTAGTTAGTTAGTTTGTTAGTTTGTTGTTAGTTAGTTAGTTAGTTAGTTAGTTAGTAGTTAGTTAGTTAGTTAGTTAGTAGTTAGTAGTTAGTTAGTTAGTTAGTTAGTAGTTAGTTAGTTAGTTAGTTAGTTAGTTAGTAGTTAGTTAGTTAGTTAGTTAGTAGTTAGTTAGTTAGTTAGTTAGTTAGTTAGTTAGTAGTTAGTTAGTAGTTAGTTAGTTTGTTAGTTAGTTAGTTAGTTAGTTAAGTAGTTAGTTAGTTAGTTAGTAGTAGTAGTTAGTTAGTTAGTTAGTTAGTTAGTTAGTAGTTAGTAGTTAGTTAGTAGTTAGTTAGTTAGTTAGTTAGTAGTTAGTAGTAGTTAGTTAGTTAGTTAGTTAGTTAGTTAGTTAGTTAGTTAGTTAGTTAGTTAGTTAGTAGTTAGTTAGTTAGTTAGTAGTTAGTTAGTTAGTTAGTTAGTTAGTTAGTTAGTTAGTTAGTTAGTTAGTTAGTTAGTTAGTAGTAGTTAGTTAGTTAGTTAGTTAGGTAGTTAGTAGTTAGTTAGTTAGTTAGTTAGTTAGTTAGTTAGTTAGTAGTTAGTTAGTTAGTTAGTAGTTGTAGTTAGTTAGTAGTTAGTTAGTTAGTAGTTAGTTTAGTAGTTAGTTAGTTAGTTAGTTAGTAGTAGTTAGTTAGTTAGTTAGTTAGTAGTTAGTTAGTTAGTTAGTAGTTAGTTAGTTAGTTAGTTAGTTAGTTAGTTAGTTAGTTAGTTAGTAGTTAGTTAGTTAGTTAGTTAGTTAGTGTTAGTAGTTAGTTAGTTAGTTAGTTAGTTAGTTAGTTAGTAGTTAGTAGTTAGTTAGTTAGTTAGTAGTAGTTAGTTAGTTAGTTAGTTAGTTAGTTAGTTAGTAGTTAGTTAGTTAGTTAGTTAGTTAGTTAGTAGAGTTAGTTAGTAGTTAGTTAGTTAGTTAGTTAGTTAGTTAGTTAGTTAGTAGTTAGTTAGTTAGTTAGTTAGTTAGTTAGTTAGTTAGTTAGTTAGTTAGTGTTAGTTAGTTAGTTAGTTAGTTAGTTAGTAGTTAGTTAGTTAGTTAGTAGTTAGTTAGTTAGTTAGTAGTTAGTTAGTTAGTTAGTTAGTTAGTTAGTAGTTAGTTAGTTAGTTAGTTAGTTAGTAGTTAGTTAGTTAGTTAGTTAGTTAGTTAGTAGTTAGTTAGTTAGTTAGTTAGTTAGGTTAGTTAGTTAGTTAGTTAGTTAGTTAGTAGTTAGTTAGTTAGTTAGTTAGTTAGTTAGTTAGTTAGTTAGTTAGTTAGTTAGTTAGTAGTTAGTAGTTAGTTAGTAGTTAGTTAGTAGTTAGTTAGTTAGTTAGTTGTTAGTTAGTAGTTAGTAGTTAGTTAGTTAGTTAGTTAGTTAGTTAGTTAGTTTAGTTAGTTAGTTAGTTAGTTAGTTAGTTAGTTAGTTAGTTAGTAGTTAGTTAGTTAGTTAGTTAGTTAGTTAGTTAGTTAGTTAGTTAGTTAGTAGTTAGTTAGTTAGTTAGTTAGTTCGTAGTTAGTTAGTTAGTTAGTTAGTTAGTTAGTTAGTTAGTTAGTTAGTTAGTTAGTTAGTTAGTTAGTTAGTTAGTTAGTTAGTTAGTTAGTTAGTTAGTTAGTTAGTTAGTTAGTTAGTTAGTTAGTTAGTTAGTTAGTTAGTTAGTAGTTAGTAGTTAGTTAGTTAGTTAGTTAGTTAGTGTTAGTTAGTTAGTAGTTAGTTAGTTAGTTAGTTAGTTAGTTAGTTAGTTAGTTAGTTAGTTAGTTAGTTAGTCCTGACATATTTTCATCGATATATCTTCAGCGAGGCTCACTCCTTTAGAAAATTATAACTTGGTCCCAGAGTTTCGACTTTTTCAGATTTTGTCGGCCTGCATTATCGATCCATAATTCGGTCACTATGTTATAAAAATATTAAAAAAGAACACCCTAATCCTTGGACTGAAGCATGTGTCTACTTAAGTTAGGGGTGTAAATGTAAATGCAATAATACTGAATGAATGTTTTCTAATTTGCCTTTAATCTTGTGTTATTTCAAATATTATTTTTATTCTTTTGTTCCAGCTGGAGATTTTCTTTTACTGATTGCCTGTTAGATTGTTGGCATCCCATGGTGTTTTCTTGTTAGGTATTTTTCAAGTGTTTTGGTTTCTTTGTGTACAATTTTATTGAAATAATTTATACTAAATAATAGCCGTAATAAAATACAAACTTCATTTACTTGCCGGGAAAAAAGAATATGATTGAATTAACAAAATTTACAAAATTATTTGAAGAATGTTAAATAGAAATTGTAAAAGGTAGGAGTCAAGGTATTTGAATCATTAGAATAAGGATTTTTTTTTTTTTTTTTTTTTTTGTTTAAAGCTGTAAAACAGAATACAAAATTGTTGACTGCACTGTATCATTCATTTTACCTTGCACTCCAATCGCAATCAATATTTTGTTTAAAACAATCTTTTTTAATCCTATGCTTTATTGGTAACAATCAATTATGTTTATCTGTGTGTATTTGCATAAATAATTTCTTTTTGAAAAATTTTATAAAATTTTTGGCAATTTGTTCTTTTAAGTATAAACATATTTATGCAAATACAACAACAACAAAAAAAAAAATTAAATCATTTTTCTTCATGTGGTTTTTATTTTAAGAGTAATACATATTTATGACTTGATTTTTTTTCTTTATTTTTGTTGTTGTTGCTTTCGAACAAATGTTTTTAACACTAAAGTTGTATTTCCAGCCAATGTGTTAAGTCTCTAAAGTGTTTTAAGCTCAATTTGGTAAATAACGTTAAGTTGTTTGCGTTTATTTGGTACGATGATGATGATGATGAAGTAGTCGATTATTAAGTTTATAAAAGCAATAATGAGAATAATAATGAAGTTAAACTCTCGCTGCCACTTAAATATTTCAGTGGAAATTTTGACATAAACATATATAGACCGTGACTTAAAGCACACACGAACCATCAATTTCAGCTGGAAAGTGAAAATACATATAAACTAAAAGGATTCAAACACGTCCTTGAAGTGAAAACCAACAAAGGTGGTCTTGCTGTGTTATGCTTCCAATTCTAATGTTTATATAAGAAATATAGCGGTTTACTTAACGTTACGTATCACTTAATGCACTACTGTGTTTTAAACATGTTTAAAAATCACTTATGAGATTTAGTTGAGCTAAAATCTTATGTACAGATTGATAAACGTGATCAATAGTATAATTCAAGGAAACTAAAGGATGGAAAGTTTATTGAAAAAATATAATTGAAAATAT